TATTATTATTATTATTATTATTATTATAAAGTGATGTCAGTACAACCTTTAAGACGTGTACTTAAATTGATATTCATTCATTTTATGCTCGTTCCTCAACACACATGAAAAAATAAAGATATATGATTAATTTTTATCACTGTATTCCTAGTACAGTTGTGAATCACCAGTGTGAGGAAATTTCCATAAGCTTTGTAGTAAAATTGATATTTGATAAATAGGTAATCACTGTTAATGCTGATTAAACCGTGATTAAAATACACTTCGACATAAAAAATGCCCACATGTTTTGGTGGCTTAAAATCTTTATCAGGACATTGTTGACAGGGTGACTAGTTTAGTTTCATCTTAATCACAAAAATCATGTATATCCCATGGTATACATTTCATTTAAGGTACAGAATTAACAAATGCTTGATTAGATTCTTTGGCTATTTGTGTCCTTGAGGTAAACACATTGAAATAATGGCCTGTCTTCCAGCTAGCTGAAATTGAGTATGGATACAGGAACCCATTGCACATAAGACAAACACAAATGTAATATTCTTAGATGAGTGGGGCCATATCAGAAGCGCTATCATCAACACAAAATGACCTTTTCCTTTCCATCAACCTCTGAAAAAGAACTAACACTGAAATCCAGCTAGTCCCTGAAAATAACTGTTCAAATTTGGAATGGAGGGAGGTGTTGCAGAGGGTGGTGGGTGACTGAAAAAAAAAACATAATGAGAGGCCTCCCCTTTCTTAAATGTGTGTTTGCAAGCATCACTAGATTGATAAATGTCAGCTACTGGGATCATGTTCCCTGATAATAGTCACCTTTACATGAGAGTAGATCATAGTAAAGCATAATTCCATAGGAATTGTTGGGTTGGGTTGGGGAGATTGATCATGGAACACTAGATTGGGGGTTCAATTATTCTCTGCCAAGTTAGCCAGAAGCCAAATTAGCCTCTGCACCCTCCCCAAATTAACACAATTTCTTCCAACCACCAAAAATTATGGGATCTTTCTTTTACCTTTTAAAGTTCCCCATGCTCCAGCTTCAGTTATGAGATTTTCCTTTCCTTTTCCCTTCCTAAGCAACATCTATAATTGTCCCCACTTAAAAAAAATTCCCACAGTATATTCAGTTCAGCAATAGAAAAACCAGCAGGTTTGTGGCAGAAGGAAGCTGCACTCAGCACTGACTGGCCATCACCTATAACATCACCAAGACATCTCCACAATTTGGCAAGCACTTCTGCAGCTGCCTTTCAAGCACTTTCAGAATCTTATCAGAGGAAAAGAGTGAATGAACATACACATAAACATAAATGAGGTACTTAAAATAAAAGACTGGCAGCCACCTGATGAATGAAGATGATGAACAGGAACATCTGACTGGGTGTTCATCTTGAAAAAAATGTATCTGTCATGCAAATTACAAAGTCAGGAACAAGTTGGGTTCACACTAAGAGTACAGAATACACCGACTTTCAAAAATATTATGTACTCTATATCTTCATGCTTAATTATATCTTCTTGCAAAATACTGTATGGCACCAGGTTTATGTATGACTTGAAAGATCGCTTAAATTATGATCCAGGAAAACAAAAGAAATTTATCAATCCCCTGTTGTCACTTGGAGTCTAATGGTATCAATTCATCTACAGATTTGTTTTTATAGCCAATTTAGTAGTGACTTCAAAGAAAACTAAATTCTATGTTCTTCCCAAAGATGAAGTACTGTTTTAAAAAATAAACAGCAGCAGCAACAATGCCTGAATCATTCTACCAAACCCTTCCACTTAACAGATTTAATGAACAATAAGCAGTCATTTAAAATAAATACTAATAATCACTGAACTTGTGGAAGCTCATCCCAAGGAGAATCCAATAATTTACAACCCTACTTCTGGTAACTGACATGTTGTTGTTTTGTGCCTCCAAGTCGTTTCCAATGTATGGCGACCCTGTCATGGGGTTTTCTTGGCAAGTTTCTTCAGAAACAGTTTACTATTGCCATCTTCTGAGGCTGAGAGAGTGTGACTTACCCAAGGTCACCCAGTGGTTTTTTTGCTCAAGCAGGGATTTGATCTGTGGTCTCCAGAATTGTAGTCCAGTGCTCAAACCTGACCTGCAAAAGACACCCTTTCATTTCTAAATAAAATTCTGCAGAAAATAGCTTTCTACTCTCTGTACTTTCATCAGCATTCTGCAGGACCACTTGCATATTAATTTAAACTCCGTGACATATTTCTGTCCCCAAAATAAATAAAAAATAAGCACGTTGTGTGGTTGCCTTGAGTCCACAGCATTGCACTAACATGGGGACTCTCAAAGTAGGCTACTGGTTGACATGATTATCTGATACAGCCAGAATGGGTTTAAATTATTTCTAGCCAGTCTCTGAATGTGGTTCACAGCATGTATTTCAGGTAATCAATGTCCCTTATCACTAATAGAATAAGAAGGGCACTTGTTGTGTGCCTTCAAGTCATTTCTGACTTATAGCAACCCTATCACAGAGTTTTCTCAGCAAGTTTCTTCAGAGAGTGTGACTTGCCCAAGGTCACCATGGGTTTCCATGACTGAGTAGGGATTTGAATCCTGGTCTCCAGAGTCAAATTCCAGTGCTTCAACCACTATGCCACACTGGCTCTCCCAGGTTGAGCTTTATACAGTATCTTAAATGTATCTGTGTATCATGGATGAAGAACATCCCCTTTGAGCGAATGGTGATTCTGCCATTTTGGAAGGGTAATACATCCCACTCCCTTTAGCTGAAGTTCTAAATAACTGGCCCAGCAGTTTGCTATAAAATGAATGTAAGAGCATAAAAGAGAATAACATTTAGTTTGCAGGATCAAGCCAAAGACCTATTTAGTTCATAATTCAGTTCCCACAATGACCTATTAGATGCCTATGGGAAGCACACAAGCAGAACATGAGCTTAATTGCATCTGTACATTCATCTTCCCCAGCAGATGATACTGAGAGGGATATTGTCTCTATTACTTTTGGTAATACATAGCTGTCAAGACAAATAAGTACTCATAGTCTTTTTAAAATCTTTATTATTTAAAAAAGTAACAAAACACATACATACAATACAATATGGAACATAATACAAAAAAACCTTAATAAA